CTTGCATGTAGCTTCCTCGCACCCGAAGCAACAAACTTTTTTTGAATATGGATATTCGATTAAAGATCAAAGCAGGGCGCAGCGACGACTGTTCTCAGGCTATCGAAACCTGCATACAGTCAGTGAGTCTCCCTTCAAAATTTTAAGTTTGCACATCCTTTTGTATGAAAATCGTCTAGCTTTGCGCTTTACATCGGATTACAGGGCACATGGCGACTAGGGAGCTGTTTTCTGGCTTCGCACATAACCACATTTTTTTCCCCAACCATTAAATTGGGAGTTACAAAAATTCTCCGGATTTAATTCGGAAGTACTGGTATGTACACTGTGTAATTTCGGAAATGACTTTACTGCAAAGTCGAAAACTATTTCTGCAAATTTTAACTTTACCAAAAAAAAGCTTTTATAGTTTCAGAGCGGGAACATGTGAACGGAGAGCGAGGCAGAAAAAGAGAGAGATAGAAAGAGACATGGTTTTATTTCAATGATTTTTCGCATCCTGCCGCAGCACAAAAGCGCATCCCCAAAGACACGCAAAATTTAGCGAATGCGAAAAATTTAGGAGCTCACATGTGCAATATTGCGTTAAAAATGATGTTAATGAATCCGGAAAAGCCGAATATTGCAAATTAAGTAGTACTAACAACAGACACCATCTTTCAGTGAAAGGGAGATGTGTTCCTCATTTTCTGAAGGATCGTTTCACCACGGTTCTTCTGTGCAACGATGTTGGGTGCATACGAAAATTTTGAAAAAATCCTAAATAACTGGCCAACGCACGGGCTTCCGTGCGACGATGCGTTTTTTGCATATTTCCCCCAAGTTTTTGTTGCTACCAGCACCAGCTTTTTCGGCAAATGCTTATAGCTAAATAAATTAAGACTGGCCGCCAGAACTGTCAGAAAACACCCCCCTTGAAATTTCAGTTTTCTAGCTTCCCTGGCTCCTGAGTTAGCAACTTGCTGGAAAAAAATTTTCATGGGCCCGTGCGAGTTTAACACGCACACCCGGGAGTTAGGTTTGAGCTGAATGAAACTTAGGTGGACGGGGTATATCTTCTTAAAATTACAGTCCTTCAGCTTCTGAGGTACTCGAGTTATCAGCTTGCCCGAAAAAAACTTTG